ATCTCAAAACTCACGCGGTGGTCGGGGTGGACAATTTAATTCCAACAGAGAACGGGGAAGAGGACGTGTTAATGCATCCCAAGGTACGCATTCTTTGCAACCTGATCAAATAGCATCTTTGATCTCACTTCTTCAGAGTCAACAGTCCAATATATCCTCGGAGCGCTTGTCGGGTAAAACAAATTTGACTGATGTTATAATTGATACAGGTGCATCCCATCACATGACGGGGGATATTACACTTCTGCATAACATTACTGATATCCCGATATCTTCAGTAACGTTTCCAAATGGCCAAAGATCGAGTGCAACAAAAGTTGGCACTCTGAAACTGAGCAACGATTACTCACTCTATGATGTTCTATTTGTTCCAGATCATTGCATGCTTTTTTTCTGTGTCAAAGTTACTCAAACAAACGGGCTGTATTGCGATATTTACTGATACATTGTGTTTTACAGAACCGTTTTTCGAGTACTCTGATTGGAGCGGATAAAGGGCATGAGGGGGTTTACTACTTCACGGGGGTTAAGGTTGCACGAGTTCATGGAGCATCGAAAATGACTCAATCCTCTTCAGTTTTGTGGCATCGTCGACTTGGACATCCGTCTGACAAAGTTCTTTCTACATTACCAGATTTTCTACTCTTAAGATAAATTTAGATGATTTAAATCACTGCGATATTTGTTTTCTCGCTAAGAAAACGCGTAAAGTTTTTCAGAACGCATTAATAAAGCTGAGGGTCCTTTTTCTCTTATTCATTGTGATTTTTGGGGTCCATATCGTACACCAGCTTCTTGTGGTGCAGGTTATTTTCTTACGATTGTCGATGATTTCTCTCGTGCTGTATGGACATACCTGATGTTAGAAAAATCAGAAGTGGCGAAATTGCTTCAAAACTTTTGTTCCATGAGTGAGAGACAATTTGGTCTTCCAGTAAAGACAATTCGATCCGATAATGGAACCGGATTTATGGTGCTTCGATCGTTTCTTCAAGAAAAAAGTATTACACACCATACTTCATTTGTTGATATGCCTCAGGAAAATGGCAGAGTTGAAAGGAAACACCGTCATATCCTTAATGTCGCCAGGGCATGCTTGTTTCAGTCTCGCCTACCAGTTTCTTTTGGGGTGAGAGCATCCTAAAGGCTGCACATGTTATTAACAGAACACCATTGGCGGTTCTAAATGGAAAAACACCTTATGAAGTTCTTCATGGTACTTCGCCTGCATATGACTTCCTACGTGTATTTGGTTGCCTTGCATACGCACATATACGTGGACGAGATAAATATAAGTTTGGATCGAGAAGCCGCAAGTGGATTTTTGTAGGGTACCCATTTGGAAAAAAAGGCTTGGCGCTTATATGATATTGAAACTAATGAGTTCTTCATCAGCCGTACACAACAGTTTCCCGACATACCTAGTGAAGTGTATGTTACGCAACCACAGAATATAGTTGGCGATGCTATGGATGAGTGGCTTCTTCCGGTTCTAGAGTCAAGGGGGAGCTTAGCAACTCCACAAGTACCGATTGATCCAGTCTCACCTATCACAGAAGCAATTGCAGATCACACACCGTCTACTCCTACTTCTGATACTACGGCTTATATTCTTACTTCTGATACTACGCCCTCTACTAACCCTCCTACTATGCCTTTATCTCAGACTTAGACAAATTTTCTACAAGCCTTTTCATCCGATACTACAAGTGAGAACCTATCTTCTATGCCTTCTCCTGCTAATGCGAGTTCTAAAGATCATGCGACTACGGCTGCTCCTGTCCAACCCGAGCCAACTTCACCAAAATCTGCAGGCCTATTAGAAGTTCTCGGTCGTGGACATCGTTCTAAGAAGCCATCAGACTAACTCAAGAATTATGTTATTCATGCAACTACTACAACTGCAAACCCCCCTCACGACTCATCTGCTTCTTCTCCTAGTCCCTCGGCGACGGTTCCAGGTACAACACCTTATCCCATTGCTAACTATACATCCGTATCTATGTTTAATTCTCAACATCAAGCTTTTCTTGCTACCATTACAGCGGAGTCAGTACCAAAAACATTTAAAGAAGTAGTTCGCAATCCTCATTTTAATAAAGTTATGAAGACAGAAGTTACAGCTCTTGAGGGTCAACACACATGGGATGTGTAGAAACTTCCTCTTGGCAAGAAAGCAATTGAAAGAAAGTGGATATACTCTTACAAATATAGATCAGATGGGACGATAGAACGTCCTAAGGCTCGTCTTGTAGCATGTGGGAATCGTCAAAAAAGAAGGCAGAAACTATAAAGAAACTTTTGCTTCCGTCGCTATAATGAATACGGTGTGTTTTCTTCTTGCTTTGGCAGCTGCAAAACGATGGGAACTACATTAAATGGATGTTCACAATGCCTTTTTACATGGTGATTTGGAGGAGGAAATATATATGCTATTACCACCTGGATTTCAAACTGATGATCCCACCAAGGTATGTGTCGACTTCAAAAATCTCTCTATGGCCCCAAAGAGGCACCAAGGTGTTGGTTTGCTAAACTAAGTAAAGCTCTCTTTGCGTTCGGATTTTTCAGAGTTATGAAGATTACTCACTTTTCTCGTTTGTTCAAGATGATGTTTGCCTTCACATACTTGTGTATGTCGATGATTTTATTATAGCTGGAAACGACGTCTCTGTTATTCAGTGTTTCAAGAATTATCTTGGTAAGTGCTTCAAGATGAAAGACTTGGGAAAACTTAAATACTTCTTAGGGTTGGAGTTAGCAAGAGGACCGCAAGGGATTTTTGTTTCACAATGAAAATACGTGCTTGATATCGTTGCTGAGTGTGGTCTTCTTTGTGCAAAACCTTCACCAGTACCTACAGAAATTAATCATAAACTTGCTCTTGCAACTGGTTCTCCTATGACAGATCCGAGCAAGTATCGTCGGCTGATAGGGCGTCTTATTTATCTCACGTTTACTCGTCCGGAACTTAGTTATATTGTTCATATTCTATCACAGTTTATGCAGAAGCCACTTGACGAGCATTGGCTAGCTGCATTACGGGTTGTACGCTATTTAAAGGGCTCTCCTGGCCAGGGTATAATGCTCAAGTCAGATTGTGATATGCCCCTGACAGCATACTGCGACTCTGATTGGTCGGCATGTCCCATTATGAGGCGTTCGTTGAGTGCATATGTGGCTCTTCTTGGAGACTCCTTGGTGTCTTGGAAAACAAAGAAACAACGTACTGGATCACGTTCTTCAGCTGAGGCAGAATATCGTTCAATGGCTGATGCTACATGTGAGTTGCAATGGATGAAGAGACTACTGGCTCAGTTTGGGTTTCAGCACACTCGTCCAATGCGTTTGTTTTGTGATAGCCAATGTGCGATTCACATAGCAAAGAATCCGCTATTTCATGAAAGGACAAAACATATTGAGAATGACTGTCACAAGGTTCGAGATGCTGTTCAAGCTAAGCTACTTACTACCGAACATATTTCTACTAAGGAATAACCAGCAGACGTGCTCACCAAATCGCTACCTACTCCTACATTTTAGTATCTTCTTTTTAAGTTGGACATTCAAGACATTTTATTTCCAATTTGAAGGGGAGTATTAAGATTAGGATAATTATATACATTCTTATGTTTACGGGTCTATGTTTATTTACGTTTCCTTTTCGTAAGTCGGTATACGATGTATATATATATACTTGCACATGATGATGAATAAACTCAAGTTCTACAAAATATTTCACCATATTTCTTCTTTTATTCTGATTCTAATGCTCATTTTACATGTGTGAGGAACGTTCTAATGTGAATTGAAAAGAGATTTGTGAAGCGTGATGACGTTGGTAGCCCCGTCAGCATTTCAGTCTTATTTTCCTTTTCCAATACTTTTGACTTTAGTTTTGTAACATATTTTGCCGTATTTAATAGTTAACGTTTGTTAAAATTTGTTATATTTCTAAATTAAAAGTTTGGCCTCAATTATAAATCCGAATTCATTTTATTTTTCTTTTCTATTAGAAAGCTTCTTAACTTGTTGACAAAAAAAAAAACCTTCTTAACTTACAATCAAATAGATCATGCCCCTTGACCTGGAATATTAAATTTAATAAATTAACGTCTTATATTAATATTTATTCGTGTTGAGGAACAAGGCAATAGTCCACCAGCCAGGTCATGTGTCAGTTACGGTCAAATACCGGTGCTGATATTTAACACATGTCATCCTAATAACCTCACAGAATCCGCCTCTGTTATCTTTATTGTTTTGAATTTTTGACTGGTTCTTCTTTCTTCAGACAAGGATGACCGGAGACTGACTGTTCCCGGTTATCTGTTTAACCATGAGTCTCGGCTTCCTCCACAAGACAGTTGCCACCTTCTACCACATCTTTAAAAGAGATGAATAATGATTCTGTTGGTCTTACTTTATTGCCCCAAAAGAATAGTAGCATACTAAAAGAACCCCAATTGTACCTCATGTCATGTTGATCAAATGTGGGGGCATGCATTGTATATAAGTCATAAAGACTTTAAAGAAGTTCAGTTATGGTAAAAATTGCTTTCAGTGTGTTTACAATGTTTCGTTACTAAACGCCACTTTTGTAACTCTCCATATGGGAAGTAAAATGCTTGTCTCCACTCAACTTTTTTTTTTGCTAAAATTGTCTCCACTCAACTTTATATTATAATATATACATATCGATATTTTATACTTATAATGTTATTAAAAATCCGAATCATTCACAACCCTATAACCAGTTCATTCAACCTTTCGATTTTTATAAATTTTCTTTTATAAAAGTCAGATTCTAAAATGCCATTTTTACTGTAAGACATATTAAATAATATATATTTTCAAACGGTATAAATACGAGAAGACCCAAAAGTCTTAACACCAAACGTCGACCGACTAAAAAATCATAACCCAAAAAGTTTGTTTGCTTCTTTCTTTCTTTCGTTTTCTCTTCAAAATATTTGGGTTTTGAATCTTTGTTGTTCATCATGTCTAATGAAACAAAGTATCATAACCAGTACACTTCATCATATAATCATTACAACAACATCAGCAGCCAAAGTATTATGAATCTCCCTTACGTTTCTGGTCCATCCACTTATAATGCAAACATGATATCATCACAAATCGGTTCCGATCTACTGTCGAGTCCTCAAGGAGTGTACGAATCGGGTTTCGAGCTCTCGCCATCTTCCACCGAGTTTTTTAATCATTCCTTTGATCAAGGGAATGGTTTTTACAATGCTTTTAATTATAACACTAGTAACAAGAGTCAAGAAGTTGTCGGTAGTGGTGGTGCAATCATTGAGAGTGAAACTAGGGTTTCTGCATCTCCTTCTTCGAGTGAGGCCGATCATCGTCAGGGCCAAGATTTCAGCAAGAGCTTGAGAAAAAAAGAAGTTGAAAATGGAGGAAAAGATGATCAACGTGCTAAGAAAGTGTAAGTTTCATAAGTGTTTATGGTAGTGAAACTTTCATATATTTAAATAAGATAGAAATCACATGAATCGTGCTCGAACTTTTATTTTATCTTCATTAAAAGATTTTTTCTCTAATCAAACACCAAACCTTAATTATTTGAATATGTAACAGGCATTTCTTGTTTTTTTTTTCTATTTTCTGAGCCAATCTAAAATCAATGTCTCGAAATGACTTATTTACTTAATCAAAATAGATAAAGTTTTTTCAGTAGGAAAATATGTAGAGAATCAAAAAATATCATAAAATGACACCTTTTAGAATATCGTAGGGAATTATTTCGATGAAACTAAATATGCTGCCCAAAAAAAAAACTAAATTATGCTTGTGAAAATGTAATTTAACGTAAAGATGTTTAGCTAGAATGCTAATTCTAGGAGTTCCTAATTCTATATTTGAAAGAACGGCGAATAAAAGTATTTCAATCACAATTAAAATCCCAGTATATTTTCTGTAATACATGGCTTAATATACATATATGTATTTTTTTTTTAACAAATACACATATGTATACGACATTCTGATTGTAAATTGTTTATTCATTTCATGCCCTTTTTCAAAAAAGATTTGTTTATTAATTATTGCTGAAAAATCTACCCCTTAAAGAAAACAGAATGACGAATCCCATTTAATTTTGATAGAATACCACGTAAGGTTATTGTATTACTTATGTCCTACAAATCTGTTTGAGGTGAAAATGGTTTGAAACAATATAAAGAGAGAGATGAGGACGAACAAAGACGTTTTTATTAGATCTGAATAAGGAGTTACAAAGAGAAGAGTAAAGAGGCGGACTAGCCGGAAGTACAAGATGGTGAGTAAACGGGAAGGTGACTAAACAGGAAGGTGACTAAACGAGAAGGTGACTAAACAGGAAGGTGAGTAAACGAGAGGGTGAGTAAACCCTAGATCAAACCACCTAGTCGCTAAGAAACCCTAGATCTAGCTGCCAAGTGAGTATGTCGAATTCCGGATCCCCTTTTCCCTTTGCTGCCTCTCTCCTTTTATAGATCCAATCTTCGTGTTCGCCCTAGTTTACCCGAGCCTTGTTGGGCCTTATTATTGCTAGGCCCGTTTAGTAGTCCGGGTAAATCGTACTTCCGCCGACTCTTCTAGAATACGTTTAGTCGCGCTACTAAACGCGTCTCATGCCGAGTCGTTTTGGTGTTACCCGGTGGGCCGAGTATATTGTCATGTTGGGCTAAGTTTCTTCATTTGATGGGCCTTGTGGAGGGGTATAACCCATCTCCTACAATAAGTCCCCCCAGTTCACTTATGAGTCCGTAGGACTCTAAGTGAATTTGTGGGTCAGGTTTGATCAAATGGGGAAACTTGCAAGAATGCACGTTTAGGCGACACCATGTGAAGTTTGAAGTCGGTAGACGCCTGGTTTGATGACTTTGATGATTTTGTATGGTCCTTCCCATCGTGCGCCTAGCTTGCCGGCGTTGAGCTCCTTGGTGTTCTCGAATACCTTGCGGAGGACAAGATCTCCGAGTGCGAGTGGTCTTGCTTTGACCCGCTTGTTGTAATAGCTCTCAATCTGGTGTTGGTAGTTCTGGATTCGGAGCAATGCTTGAGCGCGACGTTCCTCCAGTTCATCAAGCGCATTGAGGAGCATGTCCTCATTGAGTTCGACGTGTTGCGGCATTTGAGAACGCCGGAGGCTAGAAACGTTCACTTCAGCTGGAGCCATGGCTTCGACTCCGTATGCAAGAGAAAAGGGGGTTAATTTAGTCGCTCCCCTTGGTGTCGTGCGATGGCTCCATAGGACACCGTCTAGTTCGTCGGCCCAGTGTCCTTTCTTAAGGTCCAGACGCTTCTTGATGCCATCTACGATGAGCTTGTTAGAGGACTCGGCTTGACCGTTCCCTTGCGGGTATCTGGGTGTGGAGGGGCTCAGGCGAATATTCCATTTGCCGCAAAAGTCCTTGAAATTCCCAGACATGAACTGCGAACCGTTGTCGGTTACAATTTCATACGGGAGACCGTAACGGCAGATGATGTTCTTCCAGACGAAACCGCGTACTTCCTTGTCAGTCACCTGAGGGAAAGCTTCAGCCTCGATCCACTTGGTGAAATAGTCCGTAAGGACTAAGACAAAGCAGCGCTGACAGGAAGAAACCATGGGGCCGATAATATCCATAGCCCAGCGCATGAACGGATAAGGAGGGGTAGAAGTTTGTAACACTTCCGTTGGGCAATGTATAACAGGGGCATGTCTCTGGCATTTGTCGCATGGACGAGAATAGGATTCACAATCTATGTTCATAGTCGGCCAAAAGAGTCCTGCGTTTCTGATTTTTAAGGCTAGGGCCCGTCCTCCAGAATGGTTTCCTCCAGCACCGTCGTGGGTTTCGGCCATCGCGCGTCGAATCTCATCGCCGTGAATGCATTTGAGGAGGACCCCGCATGCGTTGTATCTGAAAAATTCGTCATTCATGACGGCATAGTGTGCGCTGCGTCGTTTTAGTCGTCTAGCCTCCCACTTCTCGGTTGGCAGTGTGCCGTGCGAGAGGTAGTTGATAAACTCCAAACGCCAGTCGACGGTCTGCTGATCGGTCTCATTCATTGCTGTGTCGCTGATGGGGGCAACGAGGGTAGCCGTCTCATCGGAAACGTTGATGCTCGGTTCGTCGATGCGATGTATCAGAATAGTTCGCTCTATTTGGTCGCGTAGTTTGCTTCCGAGGGCGGCGAGTGCATCTGCACAAGCGTTTTCACCACGGGGTACCTTGGTGAGCTCGAAAAATTCGAACTCCTTTGCTAACTCTTGAACGATACGGAGGTATGCGTCCATTCGATCGTTGCGGGTATCATAATCTCCGTTGTACTGACCGGCGACTAGCTGAGAGTCACAATACGCGCTTACTCGCTTTGCTCTGACTGCCTTGGCTAAACGTAGTCCGGCTATCAATGACTCGTACTCGGCTTCGTTGTTTGACGCTGGGAAGTCAAAGCTAAACGATTGTCGTATCAGTTCGCCAGTTGGGGATTGGAGTTGAACACCCGCGCCTGAACCTTTGTTCGTCGAGGAGCCGTCCACATGTAGTATCCAATTCTGACTCGGGAGCTGGATGTCCTGTTATAGTTCGGGTGCTAATTCGACAATGAAGTCAGCCAAGACCTGAGCTTTGAGGGCTGTTCGGTTTTTATACGTTATGTCGAGCTCCCCGAGTTCGACGGCCCACTTGGTTAGTCGACCGGCGCGATTCGTATTCTGCAAAACAGTTCGGAGGGGCTGATTAGTCAGCACCTCAACCGAGTGTGATTGAAAGTAGGGGCGAAGCTTTCTGGCTGCTTCTACTACGGCGAGAGCCATCTTCTCGAGAGCTGGGTACCGAGTTTCCGGACCGGTCATGCGCCTGCTTGTGTAGAAGATTGGCTTCTGTTCGCCTATGTCCTCCTTGACGAGGACGCTACTAACTGCTGCACTAGAGACGGCGATGTATAGTGAGAGGACGTCTCCTTCGTCTGGCTTTGCGAGGACTGGAGGGGTGGTGAGGTACTTCTTGAGCTGAGAGAAGGCTTCCTCGCACTTATCGTCCCAAACGAATTTCTTGTTTCCACGGAGAAGGTCATAGAAAGGGAGACATTTATCGGTTGATCTAGAGATGAAACGGTTAAGAGCGGCGATGCGACCAGTTAGCCNGGGTTCAGCTTCATCCCGTATTGGTTTAACGTTCCGAAGCAGTCTCGTAAATGGTTAAGGTGATCTTTGGCATGAAGCGACTTGACGAGCATATCGTCGATATAAACTTCCATGGTGCTACCGAGTTTATCAGCGAACATACGGTTGACGAGTCGCTGGTAGGTAGCACCGGCATTCTTCAACCCGAATGGCATGACTTTATAACAGTATGTTCCTCTGTCTGTGATGAACGCTGTCTTCTCGCGATCATCAGGGTGCATCATGATCTGGTTGTAGCCCGAGAACGCATCCATGAAGGTGAGCATCTCGTTTCCCGCGGTTGATTCTACGAGACGGTCGATGCTGGGTAATGGGTAACTGTCCTTCGGGCAAGCTTTGTTAAGGTCGGTGAAGTCGACGCAGACGCGCCATTTCCCGTTCTTTTTCTTGACCACCACAGGATTCGCTAGCCATTCCGGGTAACGAACTTCTGCGATTGAACCAGCTCCGAGTAGTCGTTCGACTTCCTCGTTTACTGCTTTCGCTCTTTCGGGGCCCAACTTACGTCTTTTCTAGCGGATAGGCTTGAAAGTGGGGTCGACGTTGAGCTCGTGGGTGGTTATTGCTGGATCAATTCCTTTCATGTCTGTCACAGACCAAGCGAAGGTGGACACATTTTCCTTCAGGAATGTGAGCAATGCTCGCTGCATATCGTCGGCTAAATGTGCACCGACGCGCACCGTCTTACTCGGATCAGAATCATCTATAGGTATCTTCAGAACCTCGTCTTTCTGAGGGAAGGTTCGAGCGATCGGATGAGAGACAGAGTTGACTAGGGACGATGAACGTTGCAGCTTGACTGTGGCGATTAGCAGGTCTCGCGCGGCTTGCTGATCTCCACGGACGGTCTTGATTGTTCCGTCTACCCCAGGGAACTTGATGCATTGGTGGTAGGTTGATGGAACTGCCTGCATCGAATGTATCCATGGGGTTCCGAGAATGACATGATAAGGGGCTTTAGTGTTTACCACGGCAAATTTAACCGTTCGAGTAACTCCGCACGCGCGGACTGGGAGACGGATTGTCCCGAGGATGGTTTCCGATGAGCCGTTGAAGCCGGTCAAAGTCCGTGAGGATGATTTGACGTCGTCGAAATCTACCCCCATCTTCTCAAGCGTATCACGAAAGATGAGGTCAACTGAGCTCCCTGTGTCGACTAGTACTTTGGTTACATCGTACTTACCGATCTCAAGGACGACTAGCAGAGGATCGTTGTGGGGCAGGTGGACTCCGTTCAAGTCTTCGGGGGTAAAGCTGATCAGCGTGTGGCTCGGCGGCTTCGTAGGCCAGCGTCTCGAAGACGCGGCTTGACGCCGGTAGTCTTTGACGGAGCGGACAGTCGCCACAAGGAGGTGATCCACCCATGATGACGTTCAGCCGTGGTTTCGCGACTACTCGTTTTGTATCTAAGAATGTACGGAGATCCGCTGAAACGTTCTCGCCGCTCGGCTTTGACGAATCCATGGTATGAGACGAGGTTGACTGCTCTAGCCGTTGATTTATTGATTTGGAACGGTTTAGTCGCACGCGTAAATCGGTCACGTTAGCGTTGAGTTTGTCGCGCAGATCTGTGACAGGCTTGTCAACCGACAAGGGAGGCTCCTTGGTCTCCAGGCGTCGCGACTTGTTGGCTTGGAGCTTGAGGCGGAGGTCTCTGCTGTTGACGTCACTACATGTCGTCTCCTTTCGCTTCAGGAAGCTCCGCAGGTCGCTTGAGTCGGGCGAGTTATCGTCCTCATCATCAGATGAAAAAGGTTGCTGAGATCGTATTACCTCAATACGCTGACGGCTTGCTGGTTGCCCCTCGTCTCCCGAAGAGGCTTCGTTGTCGGCGGCATCCGAAGGTTTGTCGTCTGGACGGCGTTGCTCTCCGCTCTTACCACCGGACTTTCGCTGCGCGCGCTTATCTTTGTTCTTAGACCAACTCTTACCGGATTTAGGTTTCTGCTTTGGAGGCTGAATCTTGAAGTCGCCTTTTTCAACCGATGAGAGAAATTCAGCGTACATCGTCCTACATTCGGTTGTGTCGTGTCCTTTGACGTCATGATACTTACAGTGTTTGGTGAGGTCGACTCCTTTAGAAGATCCCGCTCCTGAGGTAGCCGGTGAAGCTGGTTGAGCCGGTCCGGCAGGACTAGCCAGACCTTTCAGAGCCGCCGTCTCTCGGTTGTACACGTTCCATGGCTCGCCGCGTACTGAGAAACTTGCGACTGGCGTGTTATTCTCGTCGACGACAAACAGAAGGCCGCTCTTTTGTTGTTTCTTGTCGCCGGAAGCGTGTTGACGCGGCTCCGGCTTTGCTTCTGAGGTCTTGGGCGTTGTCGGCTTTGCTGCGCTATGTTTGCCTATGATTGCTTTCGTGTCCTCCTCCATTCGGATGAAGTTGTGTGAGCGAGCTATGGCATCCTGGAGCGTCGTGGAGGTGCTTCGGTATAGATCCTCTCAGAACTTGGAATCGAGATGGAGGGTGTTCATGAGAGCGTCGACGGCTATGTGGTCTGGGATGTCGATCTCTGAGACGATCGACTTGAAGCGCTCCATGAATTCTCGAAGACTTTGGTCTTTAGTCTGCTTCAGGTTCCACAAGCTGGAGGCTGTCGCTTCGCGCTTAGTGAACATGATGTAGGTTTTGAGGAAAGCCGAAGAAAGCTCTCTGAAGCTGCTGATGTAGTTCTCTTTGAGACCTGAGAACCAGGTCAAGGCTTGGTCGTGGAGTGTTTCCACGAACAGCTGACAGTATGCAGCGTCTCTTTCGTCGTCGGGTAGCCGCGCTCGGGCCATCGCGATGTTGAAAGCAGTCATATGCTCCACAGGGTCACCGCCGGGTTTGTACTGCGGGACGCGCAGCTTCTCAATCTTGCGGAAGTTTACGCTAGTCAACGTACTGGTGAATGGAGTACGCTCGGTTGAAGCGAGAACACTCTCGATCTGTGGAGCGGCGCNACAGGGTCACCGCCGGGTTTGTACTGCGGGACGCGCAGCTTCTCAATCTTGCGGAAGTTTACGCTAGTCAACGTACTGGTGAATGGAGTACGCTCGGTTGAAGCGAGAACACTCTCGATCTGTGGAGCGGCGCTAGTAACCTTGTGAATCGTGGAGCTCATCTGTTGGAGGTTCAGTTTGAGCTCGGCGATTTCACGGATAGTTGTGAGATCTGGGCCGACTTGAGCTGCTTATGCAGTGTGCGGCTCGGTGGGTTCCGACTCTTCGGAGGTATGGTCGGCTACCGACGCCGTCGGATTAGTGTTGAAGAGATGACGTCGGAACGGTTGAGAGTTACTCGTCTGCCCGGCTGGAGCTGCTGTTAACGCTGCTACGAGTGCGGCGAGTTGAGCTTGAGTCTCCTTTTGGATTTCGTCTTGTCTGGCGAAACGCCATGACGGAGCTCATGAAGTCGGGCGGAAGGGGTGTTTCGGGTGCGGGAGTCTGAGTCGACTCCTCGCCGGCGGTTCCGGAGACGGTTCCGTCGTCAGGCATGTCTAGATCTGATAACGTTGCTTTGTTCAGAGCCCCACGGTGGGCGCCAAATTGTTTGAGGTGAAAATGGTTTGAAACAATATAAAGAGAGAGATGAGGGCGAACAAATACGTTTTTATTAGATCTGAACAAGGAGTTACAAAGAGAAGAGTAAAGAGGCGGACTAGCCGGAAGTACAAGATGGTGAGTAAACGGGAAGGTGACTAAACAGGAAGGTGACTAGACGAGAAGGTGACTAAACAGGAAGGTGAGTAAACGAGAGGGTGAGTAAACCCTAGATCTAACCACCTAGTCGCTAAGAAACCCTAGATCTAGCCGCCAAGTGAGTATGTCGAATTCCGGATCCCCTTTTCCCTTTGCTGCCTCTCTCCTTTTATAGATCTAATCTTCGTGTTGGCCCTAGTTTACCCGAGCCTTGTTGGGCCTTATTATTGCTAGGCCCGTTTAGTAGTCCGGGTAAATCGTACTTCCGCCGACTCTTCTAGAATACGTTTAGTCGCGCTACTAAACGCGTCTCATGCCGAGTCGTTTTGGTGTTACCCGGTGGGCCGAGTATATTATCATGTTGGGCTAAATTTCTTCATTTGATGGGCCTTGTGGAGGGGTATAACCCATCTCTTACAAAATCATTTGGTGCGTAGCATTATTAACTATATAGTTCAAAGTCAATTGTATGGTACGGTATCATTAATCACAAAACGGTCCATCGTAACTAAGCATTCATTAAATTGATCAGTAATATACTAATATATATGGTTCAGAGTTACAACAAAGAAGAAAGAGGAGAAGAAGCAAAGAGAGCCACGAGTCTCGTTTGTGACTAAGACTGAAGTTGAACATCTCGAAGATGGCTATCGTTGGAGGAAGTACAGCCAAAAAGCAGTCAAAAACAGTCCTTATCCGAGGTAATTTAACCGGCTATTAATATACTTCATTCTAAAGAAATAAATAAGTACAATAAACTAATGAAAATGTTGAGCATATGTAGCTTTTAGTTTCTTTTGGTTTTTAAGTTCTTTAAATCATCAGTTTCTACTCGTTTTCAAAATTATTAATAAAAATAAGAAAATTAGTTTTCATAACATTTTCTTTTTATTTAGAAATCTAAACCAACTTAACCATGATGTTTTTCTTATTTACATCCATACAAGGTCTAAGATTTCATTGTAGGTTGTATTTTATGTTAATTCTTTTAGCGAATGTATATATTGATTTCAACTTTAAAAGTAGTTACTTGTGGATTTTATATTTCTTGGGCTATTTTTCTGATTGTTCACATTCACAATTATATTTCTTAAATATCACTTCCATTGACATCATCAAACTTTCAATTTTTGATATTATATTAAAAATATAAATTGATAAAGATACGTTGGTCAAAAGAAAAAATGACTAGAATAACGTTAAAAAAGTTTTTATCATAAATATATCACTTAAGAATAAAAATGACAAAATAACATTTAATGTTTTATTAAAAGAGATAAATATACACTTATATTCCAATGCTAAATTAATTTAGATATTAGGGTTTAGAGTTAAGGGATAGGATTTAAAATTTATGCTTTAGGGTTTAAAATTTAGGTTTTAGGGTTCAGAATGGGAGAGTGAGGTTTTGGGGATAAGATTTCAATTTTTGAAAACTAAAAAAAATTTAAAATTTTCAAAAGATAAAATGCAATTTTAGTCATTTTAGTTTTAAAAACTATTTATGTGACATAAACTTAGAAAGATGCTATTTTGAAGATTTTCCCTTGGTCAAATCATTTTTAGGCAGTTTTTTCTGTATTTAACTCATCGTATCTTCTGATAAATGGAATTCATAAAGATGTTGATATTGATTTAAAAGTCAAAACTAATTTTTATAAGTATGATTTTCATTTTGTAACTGACATATTATAAATTGTTCAAAAAACTGACATATTATAAACTGTTCAAAAAACAATTATAAGTATGTCGCCTTTGTTCAAAAAACTGACATATTATAAATTACATGCTAAAACTATATAACGAGAGCAGGAGTTACTACAGATGCACGACACAGAAGTGCAACGTGAAGAAGAGAGTTGAAAGATCGTACCAAGATCCAACGGTCGTAATCACAACATACGAAAGTCAACACAACCACCCGATCCCGACAAGTCGCCGTTCCGAAATGTTCGCTGGACCCGAAGCATCTAATTATAGCTCAACCTCTCTATCTTCAGTTTCTGAGTTAATCATCAACTAGGATAAGACCCGCGCCTTGCGCGGAATGAAATTATTATTTTTATTATGTTTTGGAAAATGAAACAAAAGTTCGGTTTCATCTAGATTAAGAATGTTCAATCTGGATATCGGTTTCCGTATTTTGGTTATTAAAATATAACTACTATTCTAAATCCATATTTACTTCAGTTTGATTTGGTTTATATAGGTTTTTAGTTTATTCAATTTTATATCAAAATACATCATTATTTAGTTTGAAATCATATTACATATTATAAAATAAATAATATGACCATATTTAGAGTCATATTGTCAAAAAGTCATTTACTAAAAAAATATATTATATATTTAACTAAAAGAATTAAAAACAAAAAAGGCTTCTATGATCTAATAAAATGATCAAATCTAGAATTAATATCAAATCTCTAAATATTGAAAATAAAAATAAAAATAAAAACAAAACAGAAGCATGAAAGAAAAGTTTTTATATTCTTCCATATTTAGTGTTCATCAAATTAATATGTCTTCGATTGAACACAACTCTGTTTGTTTAAAGATTAAAAAAAAATTGTAAAGAATTTCAACTAACTATTGTCCATCAAATTTATAATTTTTACTTCAGTTTAGTTTTTATTAAAAAAAAGAAAAAAATTAGATTAAAAAAAGACGAAGAAAATAAGAAGCCTCAGTTGCATTAAATTGTTAGTTAATTATATTTCAAGTGATTCAAGTGATTTACAAATCATAATTATAGTTCAACTTATGTAACAAATAGATATACATATTTACATGTTTCAGTTTAATCGATTATAAATCAAGCCATATCCAAATCTTACGGTTTTTATAAAATCACATACATTCGGTTTGTATGGTATATACCAAAAATAATCATATTATCGACTGTGTTAATATCTTTAAAAAATAGAAAATTTTTAGAAAGAACTAATATATTTAAATCATTGATAACAAAAATTTTCAATGTGAAAAATTTTATACGTTTATAATTTATAAATGTTCT